TAAAATTTGTATATGCATAACACTTAAACCCCTACTGTAAATATACACTCAAATCCCCTGAAGTTTGTAAAAATATATTTTTTAGACCTCTTAAGTTTAAAATGTTATATTTAGACCAAAAATATTTTAATTCAAGATAAAATATCAAATATTTTAAATTTTACAATTAAAATTTATGTTCTATTATATCATTTATTTAAATAAAATTAAAAATAAAAATTTAATTTTTTCTTAAAAAATCTTAATGAGTATAAAATTATATCGTCTATTGGAATTTAATTTGGTCGTTTAAACGATCAAATTAAAATATCAAACTACTTCAATTAAAACTAAAAGATATTGTGTTCATTACAGTTTGATCCCTTATTTAATTTTTTAGTTTTATTCTAATAGGTAGTATAATTATATACTAACTATGATTTTTTTTTTAAAACTAGATTTTTTATTTTTTTTATTTTAATAAATGACATAATAGAACATGAATTTTAGATGTAAAATCTATGTTTTATTATGAATGACTTAGACCCCTTGTTTGATTTTTTTAGTTTTATTTCGATAGATAGTATAATTGTATAATAATTACGATTTTTTAATAAAAAATTAAAATTTTAATTTTAATTTTATTTCAATAAATGATACAATAGAATATGAATTTTGGTTGAAAAAGTTAAAATATTTAATATTCTATATTTGGTTGGAGTATTTTTGGTTTAAGTATAATATTTTAAATTTGAGGGATCTAAGTATTATATACTTACAAACTTTAAAGGAGTCTAAGTATAATTTATTAACAGATAAATTTACAACAAGGGTTAAAGTGTTATGCGCAGAGTTTGTATCTAATATTTCAAATGTCAAAGAATTTAAGTAATTAAATGACAAACTTTAGAGATTTGGGTGTAATTCTCCCAAAAAAGTGTATACTTTACCCTGTCACTGCCACGTTCATTGCAACCAAGTGCAAGTGTACTCGTTGATTTCAAATGATAAGTCTCACTTTGTATGAATGTTCATCTGAACTTACAATAATAAAGACAATATGAATCACACATAAATAGTTACTACATGATATGAGTCATTCTAATGGTAGTGAAGAGTTATTTTTAGGCATCATTCTAATTTTTACAAATACAAACATAAATTATATAAACAAATATTGTCAAATAACCACTTTTAAATTTTAAATGGAATTAAAAGAAAAAAATATGAGTTAAATTAAACCAGAAACATTATGGTACCACATTTTTTATTTTACGGGACCATAGGAAAAAGTTAAAAAAAAATTCAAAAATAGTAAGTTTTATCTTAAAAAGTGAAAAACTCTGTCCAAAAAGGTTGTAAGTAAACCTAAACAATAGTAATTGAACCCAAAAGGTGATATAAATAGTCAAGTGGTATGTTATTGAAATTTTTTTCTAATATCATAGTCAAACACTAAATTAAACAAACATAGTCCTATGTTATTTCCTAATTCTAGAAGGTTCTAAATGACCCTATAACATTGATTTATTATTTTGGATCTCTTCCAAGAAACATTCTAGAGAATACTAGAGAGACAAAGACAAACACTCCTGACTCGAATTTCAAAATAGCGTGACTTAAATAAAATATTATTCTTTATCCAAAAAGATTGCCAGTTTATAATAAGATTGAATACAAAAATTCATTCGATTTTAATAATACATATTTTTTTCAGAAATTTGATAGATTTTTTTTTAAAAAAACAGGCATATCAAAATGATTGTGAGAGCATTATTTAAAATAAAGTAAATCCAACTAATTATCCATATCATATAAATATTAAACAACTAAGTAAGATCCACATCATTTATTTATCACAACATAATCTAATATCAAGTAGGGATGATAAATAGAGACCTACAAAGTTCTCTCAAATCTTGTATCCATACATTTTTTATTTATTTTGTTGGGGATGGAGAAAGGAGGGGGAACTTGAACTCTTTCACAAGGTAAAGAATATCATTGAACTAAATGTCCGTTAGTTTGTATCTATACATAAGTTTCATCTATCAAAGCTTAACACTAAAGTCATAACTTTACATTATAATACCCGAAAAAATAAGCTCTCATGAAGTAATCAAGTTTACATCACGGGAAATATTATGTGCACCAAATCGATGTGAGCCTTCAGATTGGTGGACCTCACTGTCATCCTACGACTCATATTCATTTGATTTAAAATTTGGTACACATAGCACTTCCATCACAAACTCTTCAAAATACCTTTCAAATACAAGTTTGTGAATAATCACATTTCTATACAACATTCTAAGAATAAATACAAAAAAAATTTCAAAAGAAGTCCCTCCTAATCTAAAGCTCACACAAGTCTTCATCAACTAAGCTTTGATATGAAAGTAAGTCGCTAAAAATATTAATAGGGGATGAGCAATTACAGCCCAATAAATTAAAAAAAAAATTCCATGCACATAAAAATCGGTTCGAATAAAAATTATATATATATACAAAATTCATATACATGTGCATATACGAATGAATTGAATTTAACAGACATTTAAACTCGAGTTTTAGCTCAAGTTAAACTCTAGTTCCATTTGTTTAAATCAACCAGGCGCCTGAGGTGAAGCGAACAAACTTTGAAATTCATTACAGTTTTGAATTTATTCCAACCAGGCTCAGTTCAGTCACTAATATACAACGAGTCTCATTCAGACTAATGTCATGGTTATCTAACACAACAAAATTGAAAGAATCTATAATGACATCTCACTCAACCAGGTCCGTGGAACGATGGATGGCTCTGAGTGTTGATTTATGCTTGTCAATTTCTTTGAAATCTTCTATTATATCTTCATACGTTCATTTATACCATCTTTGACGGCAAAATAGACTTTAAGCCATAGATTTACGATGTAACAATAATATCTTCAGCCACTCGATGGGCTGGTGTTAGTAGTAAGAGTCGCAATCATGTTATGTCATTTTCACGTCATTTTAGATTTAAATCAAGTATTAGTTAATTTTAATTTAATCTATTTAATTAGTTGTGTCGTTTTTGTGTTGATTCATATAACTCGTAGATAAAAAATTTAACACTCAATTTTATGTATAAAATTTCATTATCACTTAATCATACATATGTTCATATTTTTTTTATTAACTAAACATTAATTTAATAAATATAATAATAAAAATGAGTAAAAATATTTTTTTTTGTATAGGAATTAAGTCACTACTTGATAAAATATAATAAAAAATTAACCTTTTATTCTTATAATACTATTTAAACGTGTTAATTATGTTAATTTTATGTTGTTCGTGTTTGACACAAACTCAANAATAATCTTTTATTCTTATAATACTATTTAAACGTGTTAATTATGTTAATTTTATGTTGTTCGTGTTTGACACAAACTCAACTCATTTATTATTCCTATTAACGGGTCCTGTCACGACTATCAAGCCTGAGAAACGTAGGCATCGGTGATGCCATCCCTTAGAATTTTCCTCCAGGACGATTCAAGTGAATTTGAGGCCTCAAAATGATATANTGAGAAACGTAGGCATCGGTGATGTCATCTCTTAGAATTTTCCTCCAGGACGATTCAAGTGAATTTGAGGCCTCAAAATGATATAAACTGTCTGGCATCATCGAAAACTTCAGTATCCGATTCCCTCTACCAGTCAAGGAAAGTAAACTCCATGTACATGGAGCCCACTGATGAGCTCTTGAAAGCGACTCTTCCTTTGAAGTTTGATGGATATCGCCTCAGACGCGTACGGTTTGGTATCTATGAAATTACTGGAATGAATTGATGAATGAGTTCAACATGATTAATTTCACTATACAATATCAATATAGGGAAGGAAATTAAGCGGCGGATCATTTGGCAAGGCAGGGATCAGCAAGAGAGACAACCAGGTACTTGAACAATGCACTCATGCCTCGACAACTTAGAGGTATTTTACGGCTGAAATAAGTTTGGGATGCCTAATATGCCCCGCTAATTGGTTACGGTATGTACTAGTTTGTGTGGTTCTTTCTGTTTTATCGATTTGTAACTACAGTATTTCTCTATTACAAGTGAGGGTGANCTAATTGGTTACGGTATGTACTAGTTTGTGTGGTTCTTTCTGTTTTATCGATTTGTAACTACAGTATTTCTCTATTACAAGTGAGGGTGATCTAATAAATTTTGGAGATACCATCCTCCTCCTCTAAAAAAAAGAAAAGGCTTGTGCCATAGTATCATTCAGTTAGTATTTTAACTTGCTGATCTCTATAATGCATCTGGTTGATAACTATACAAGCTTTACGTTTATCTTCACTTGAATTTTATATTTCTTTTGTCCGNGATCTAATAAATTTTGGAGATACCATCCTCCTCCTCTAAAAAAAAGAAAAGGCTTGTTCCATAGTATCATTCAGTTAGTATTTTAACTTGCTGATCTCTATAATGCATCTGGTTGATAACTATACAAGCTTTACGTTTGTCTTCACTTGAATTTTATATTTCTTTTGTCCAGTGAGTATTCCTTAATCCCTGTAACCATCATTTATCATAAGAGAGAAAAAGAGACAGAGATAGAGAGATTTCAATGTTGAAATATATCAAGCCTCTTGCACCTGCTTTCTATAAACCGATGGTTTTGAGTAACAGGCCGAAGTTAAGTTTTACAAAAGAAATGATATAATTTAGTACAATGAGACTCTTCTTATTACTGGATCTTAACATGATCAAACATATGCATTCATACTCGGGTGCGGAGATGGTATTTTTCATGATGTTTAGACTATAATCGAATAACCTTACAACTACATCGAGATAGTGCTAAACAATCGGGTCAAAAAAGTAATAGTAAAAGTACTAAAATGGAGGGAAGGAAAGCCTAGAAAAGCAAACCCTAGCAGAGAACCTTGGACCTCTTGTGCTACGCCTTTCCCTACCTCCTATTTGAAAAACTAAAGCAAAACAAGACCAAAAATGCATGAAAGTAGCCTTGCTATGGTGTAATAATCAGCAAGGAGAACCCTTCCTGCAGTTAAGTGCACCCGCAGCCATGGTAATCGAACCGACTAGGGAAGATGGTCTTGCACTCAAGCTTGAAGCCTTAGCATAGCTCGAGGAGTCTCTGGCGCCTGACCCCGTAAAAAATGCTCCGTTCAACATTAGGTCTCCTTCTGACTTCCAATTCCAATCCTTCCATTCACTCTCTGGTGCATCCTCATGTTTGGTGGCCTGCATAAATTCAACAGTCATGTGAAATACAAGACATTTGCATGTTCTCCCAAGCAAATAGAGGAGTGGTTAAAGGGTAGTCAATTTTGGCAACGGAGAATCATTCAACTATACAATACACGCCCACACATAGATGTACTTGACTAATAAAACTCGAAATCAATTATATCAAAATTCAAACTCGAGACGTAAAAGTTTGCATACAAAATTTTTATAAGGAAAAAGAAATCAAAAAAGGGTTTCTCACCTCTTTGCTGAATCGGTCATCAGGTGCTAGAAATCTGTTGCCTTGGCTATTAATGGTTGGTGCAGCACTCCCTCCAATTGCATACATGACCCAATGGGTGTAGTCATTATTCACCACATGGAAGTAACCATGTCTGCATCTGCAACACCAAACTTCACTAAATCTAAAGCCAGGGCTCACCTTCATAACCCCCGTGCGTAAAATGAGAGTAAGATTTTATTCAGTACACTTTTTTTTTATCATTTTTTTTCTTGGCATATCATTCGCCATCCATTTAAGTGGGGCCCGTCATATACAAGTAAATCCCTCACTTAATTAAAGGTGGATGATATGCTAAAAATTTAATGGAAAGAATCTAAATCCTGTAAAATATACACAAGATTTGCTATCTTATATCATACATAACTTATAGGGGTCGCAAATGGGACAAGTTGTTTATGAACATTTCAAAAACTTGTCTATGTTCATTCATTTTCTAGATGAATCAAGTTTGAGTTCAATTTTACTTATTCAAATCGAGCTTGATTTAGACATGAACTTGAGCTCTAACACAAACTCAAGCTTAGTTAAAAAGTTAATGAGTTGAGTTTACAAAAGATTTTAAAACTTATCATCTCGATCTAGTAGTGAATTTTTTTACAAACGAACTAGCTAAACTCGATTTATTTGATAATCGACTCGACATGAGTTCATTTGTACGCAAGAAACTTTGACTTACCGTGGCATTCTTTGGACAAGCCCTTCTCCAAAGTGATTGAATGCAATTGTAATTTGCATGTTCTTGTCTTGCACAAAGTCATCATTGTGTCCCAAGAGCATGACCTTATCATGGTGTGTCATGTAATTGTTTGAAATTGTGATAGCTGTGGACCCATGAATAGCATCAATCAGCCCATCATTACAGTTTGATAGAGAGCAATGGTCCACCCAAACATGACTACCACCAAAGATGGACACACCATCCCCGTCCGATAGAGTCCTCCACCCATAGTGCCGTGGGGAGTCTCTCACCATAGCATTCCCTCCTTGCTTACAATGATGTATATTCAACCCATGAATAATAATATTAGTCACGTATTGTATAGTAATGCATGGACCACCAGCAATATGAACACTGACTCCTCTACCATCAATGGTCTTGTATGAGTTCATAATTAGCTCCTCCTTTAATTGTATCACCATATCATTAGCAAAAATGATCCATAATGGTTCGTCTTGGATAACGGCATACCGGAGAGTCCCCGGCTTCGGGTTCATCGGATTGTCGTCACCGGATTCAGTGATGATGTAAATTTGACCATCTCTTCCACCTACAGCACCCTTGCCAAACCCAATTGCGCAATCGGCTAGCCTCTGGCGGTTCTTCTCCCAATCGGGGTCGCACCTCCAGCAGTCATCAATGGGGTTGCCGGTACCACAAGAGAGATAACCTAAGTTTCTCCTCGAGGAATTGATGCTCCTGCACTCGAATCAAAGCAAATAAATACTTAAAGTTACATTTTCTCTGACAAACATTCTTAGAGCATATGGTAATTTTAATATGATCTCTGAATAAGAGGTTCTATACTTGAATCTTGCCATCACCCACATAATTACAACTTTCACTTGCTTTGACCAAAATTTAGTCTACACGATAGAGTTATGATTTCGGGTTAATAGCATTTTTGGTTTTTAAAATATGTATTTTTTGTCAATTNAGAGGTTCTATACTTGAATCTTGCCATCACCCACATAATTACAACTTTCACTTGCTTGGACCAAAATTTAGTCTACACGATAGAGTTATGATTTCGGGTTAATAGCATTTTTGGTCTTTAAAATATGTATTTTTTGCCAATCGAGTCCTCAGTGTATTAATCTTGTCAATTTAGTGCATAAAATATTCAATTTGTGTTATTTTTGTCTCTAATCAGACAATCTATCTAATTTTTTAACAGAAGTGATCACGTGTCATTTTTTTAGAAAATATTAAGTGTCCAACACGTAATCATCTCGTCAAAAACTTAACAGTCCGTCTATATAGAGAATAAAATGACACAAATTAAATACTTTAGAAACTAAATTAATAAAACTAACACAATGAGGACTAAATTGACAAAAAATGCAAATTTTAAAGACTAAAAATGCTATTAACCCTATGTTTTATTTAATTTTGCACTATTTTCTAATAGCTTAGCGTTTTATAGCTTATAGTAGTTTGCGACTGCTTATTTATGAACTCATTTTTACAGCAATATATCAACAACGTCGAGCAACTGTTTTGAACCACTATATATTAAACACACACACACACACACACACATGTGTATATATATATAGTTTAGTTGCGTGTTTGTGTGTGAAATGGAGTTGAAGCCTCTTATATTCGAGTGCGTACCTGTGTACTTGTTGTACAACTAATGCAGGGTCTTGTACTGGTGACGAGGAAATGAGGGTGAGAGTTAAGAGAGAGAAGAGGAGGAGGAGAGAGAGAGTGTGAGTTGCCATAGCCATTGCCTCTCTGTCTCTTCCCTTTGAAAAATGGGGGACTGTGGGACGAATGGAGGGTTGGGAGAGAAGAGGGAAGTGATTGAGTTTATAAAGAGATAACAAACAGTCGAAATGGCTTAATTAAACTAAACATGTGGGTCCAGCTGCTTCATGATTACGGGTTTAACGAAGCATTAATAATAGAATAATGTTATTTGATACATAATTTAAGAATTTAATGTCATTAGATTGATGATAACGTGAATTCAATATTAGAACTTATCAACAATTCAATAATCGCCATCATTAAGTTTTGTACGCATTGCTCCTATGAGAGATTCCTTCGGGTAGTTTTTGCCAAGCAAGCCCAGCTTACAAAGCTTGAGAATTCTCCTGTCTTTTGTATGGGCATGGGACCTACCACAGAAAAAAGAGTGACCCTATCTTGTAATATTGGAGGCCCACACAATAGCTCAGCCTCGTCACGTGCACCTTTCATAGGATTTGACTAAAAATCAAACATGAACTTAACTCCACTCGTATACAATCTGAATATGACTATAGACGTAATAGATATAAGTTAAAATTAATTAGTTTTGACATGATACGACTTAAGTATAGTACAAATTGCATACAATATGATGTATTGTTGCTTAAAACCCCAAAAATTTTGAGCTTTAATTTAATTTTTAGCCCTCAATTCAGTTTCTTGTTCTGAGATCCTTTTAAATGGACCAAGTTAAAGGCCCAATTTATTTTACGAGACTATATAAAAACTTTATAGAAATTACTAAAATATAACAATATTTTCATAAGTCTATGTAAAGTTTTATAGAATGCTCTAAAATATATCAAAACTTTTTTAAAAAGCCTAAAAATAATGACTTCTAATTTTAAAAGTAATTATTTCTCTCAAATTCTTTCCTAAAATATAACAATATTTTCATAAGTTTATGTAAAGTCTTATAGAATGTTTTAAAATATATCAAAGTCTTCTAAAAAAGCCTTAAGTAATGACTTCTAGATTTAAAAGTAGTAATCTTTCTCAAATCCCTTTCACTTTCTTTTCCTTTACTTTCACCGCCTCTTTCTCTTTAAGATCCTGAATTCATAATTGCACTCAATTTATGCTTTGGTTTAGTCTGATCTCAAAACACTAAAACTTTGGAACTAAATCATACAATAACTTTATAAAATATCTAATAATCATAAAACATTATTATCTTCCTAAAATTTTGATTGGGGTCTGATGTTCAATTCTCGCTTTAAGCCCCATTTTTGTGTTAGACTGCTATTGTTGTGCGTCATAAAAACTCGACGAGTTAATTCATTATACACCATGGGGTGGCCTCTATCGCTGCAATACTCGCCAATTTTAGTTTCATAGAAGTAGGTCACTTTATATTTTTATCTATTGGTATCGACGGAAGTGTTGTGCCGCCTAGGGATGACGACATGGCTGATCAGTGAGGGAGGAGTGAATTCAAGTGATAGCTTATAGGTGAGAGTGTAACACAATGATTTTAATGTATTAATTGCCTCAACAATTTTGTGAGTTGTGCATTAACTTTTGACAAAAACAAAAAAAAGAGAGATATTAACGCATTAGTTGATTCAATACACACAAAAGTCACTTTAGTAACGGGTTATGACTTAGCTTTGGCAAGAAAAAGTAAAAAATTTTGAAATAGTAGAATGACACGTGCCAGATACGCACGCGTGTACATGTGAGAAAGAGAATGGATGCTGAATTTCACCATGCCTAGAAAAGTTGTTCCTGGGTTTTGTTACATCAATGATGTTGTGTTGGGTATATATGAGCTTCTCAAAGGTTACATGGTATTATTTTTATCCACAACTTGATTATTTGTGTAATTTAATTATACATTTGTATTTTATTCCCCATGTTTAAGGATATGTGGAAAGGAAAAGATTTATCTCTAAACGTTTTTGCTTTTTTATGAACTTTTTTTTGTACACTAAACGAAAGGTGAATAAATAATACAGTGTTACGATCATAGCTTATCTATTTGAGCAACTCAACTGACTAAGAGATGAAAGGGTTCCATTTTCTTGGTTGAAAAACACAACGGCCATCAAATAATAAGAATGAGCTATTTAAATGTATTTAAGAAGAAAATAGAAACACAAAAAAAATTTATACTTAAGCCAAAGCCAATTTTTTGGTTTAAGGCATAATTGTCTTTGTAGGATCATTTAAGGACAAAATAGGAGTGTGACATTAATTCTAAAAGTATGACATAGTTGTAATATTGGGGGCAAAGGTAAAATATTTTTTTTTAAGTATGCTCAAATATTTTAAAGTAGTATAGATTTGGTTTTTTTAACTACCCACATTTATATTTTTTTACTATCTTTAGTAACTATTTAATCTTTAAAACTTTTTAAAAATAATTTAGTCATTAATAGATCTGTTTCAATAACGTTGGGGTGGGGGCGGGGGTAAGGGTGATGATGAGGGTATGTGGAAAATAATATAATTAGATCCTTATTTTTTGTGTCTACAATGTATCGCTCCCTCATATCGACTTTTGTCAAAATGCAAAATGAATATGTAAATAGATTACTCTACATATCTGTTAGGAAACACCATCTTGTGATATACAAAACAACGTTCTTTTGTTGTTGTTTAGGGAACATCACTATGCATTGTAGGGTAGANCAAAAAAAGAGAGATATTAACGCATTAGTTGATT